AAGCAGTAGTGTGTTGGTACATTTATTTTATTATTTATCCCACCTCCACTCATCCAAATTAATGTGTGAAATTGGGATGTATCTTAAAATTGATAAGAACTTGCATGTAACTTCCACCACTCTGGAAGAGTTTTTACAAAGTCGATGGTGTTTCTTGTAGTCGATGGCCTCTTAGAAGCCCAGAAATGTGTAAGGCGATAAGCTTCATGGAATCATTGTTATTTATTGGCAAATAGCCATAGACAGTTTTCCTTCTCACTTCTCATTTTTAGCGAGTTTGTTTTCTGTGTTACTTCACCAACAAGGCCTCTGCTGGGTGATTGTGGGTTGGCTCAGAGCTAGCAAATACTCTAAATTGAGAAAGGAAAAGTATAGAGTATTATCTTTTTGTTAACAGTATTAACATTTATACAGATATCTGTCTTGAATTCTTAGCATTTGATGTAATTACTCCCTCTTTTTTTTTTTTTTTTTTTTTTTGAGACAGAGTCTCACTGTGTCACCCAGGCTGGAGTGCAGTGGTGTGATTTCAGCTCACTGCAACCTCTGCCTCCTGAGATCAAGTGTTTTTCCCACCTCCACCTCCTGAATAGCTGGAACTGTAGGCTTGTGCCACCACCGAGCTAATTTCTGTATTTTTACAAAATGCAAACAGATGGGGTTTTGCCACGTTGGCCAGGCTGGTCTCAGACTCCTGACCTCGAGTGATCTGCCCGCCTCTGCCTCCCAGAGTGCTGAAATTATAGGCGTGAGCCACTGTGCCTGGCCTGTCTTTTCATTTATTTACTTTTAAAGTTTATTTTTAATTTTTAAAATCAGACCAACTCTTCAAGACTTTAAACTCCCTGGGGGTAGAGATTCTATTCACAGCTGTGTCACCAGTACCCAGAATAGAGCCTGGCACAAGGTGAGTCCTGATTGCCTGTTGGTTGTTGATTGATTTGTGCCTCTGGAATTATCTTTTGATAATAGTAAATAAGATGTGCCAACACAAAACTGATAGAGTTCAGAAATAATTAAGAATCTCCTGTGTTCATTGGGAAAGGGACATTTGTTGGGTGGGGAGCTTTCTAAAAGGTTATGTAATTTTCTGGCATTTTGACATAGACACAAAATTCTTACTGATTGAGGTTACTGCATCATCAAGTATAGTACACTCACGTGTTGCCTGAGGGTAGGGCATTTGTTCTGAGAAATGTGTTAGACTATTTCGTTGTCATGCGTGCATCCTCAAGTGTACCCACACAAACTTAGATGGTACAGCCTACGACATACCTAGGCCATTAGATGGTATAGCCTGTTGCTCCCAGGCTACACACCTGTACAGCATATTGCTATATTGAATACTGTAGGCACTGTAGAGCATCTAAACATAGAAAAGGTACAGTAAAAATATGATAGATTGAAAATGGTCCACCTGTCTTAAGACACTGTGAAAGGGGCTTGCAGGACTGGAAGTTGCTCTGGGTGGATCAGTGAGTGGGTGGTGAGTGAATGTGAAGGTCCAGGACACATACTGCACCCTACTGTAGACCTTATAAACACTGTACACTTAGGCTACACTACATTTATAAAAACATTTCTCTTTCATAATCATAAATTAACCTTAGCTTACTATCATGTTTTTACTTTGTAAACCTTTTAATTTTTGAAAATATTTTCACTCTCTTGTAATAACGCTTAAAACACAAACATGTTGTATAGCTGAATAGAATATTTCCTTTTTCATTTCCTTATCGTTTGAGCTTTAAAAGTTAAAATTTATTTATTTGTTTATACATACATACATTTTAAACTTTTTTTTTTTTTTTTTTGAGACGGAGTTTCGCTCTTGTTACCCCAGGCTGGAGTGCAATGGCGCGATCTCGGCTCACCGCAACCTCCGCCTCCTGGGTTCAGGCAATTCTCCTGCCTCAGCCTCCTCATTTTAAACTTTTTTGTTAAAAACTAAGACACAAACACACACATGGGCCTAGGCCTACATAAGGTCAGGATGATCAATACCACTGTCTTCTGCCACCACATCTTACCCCACTGGAAGATCTTTGAGGGCAGTAACATGCATAGAGCTGTCATGTCCTATGATAATAATGCCTTACCTTGTTCTGGAATACCTACTTCCCGGGCGACCTGCCTGAGACTATTTTACAGTTAATTAAAAAAAAAAAATGGTAGAAGGAGTACATTAAAATAGTGATGAAAAGTGTTCTATAGTAAACACTAAGTCATAGGGATTTTTAAGCTCCGTTATAATCTTGTGTATCAGCTGTCATATGTGGTCCATTGTTGACTGAAATGTCGCTGTGCATCACGTCTTCCCTGTATTTTCAAAGCCGTTGTTGGCAAAATTCCAGAGTACAATAATTTGCATTGCTTATTGCCATACTTCTTGAGAGGTCCTGTGGTAAGAGTTGTCTAATGACTTGGAAGTGACCAGGTTGAAGAATGTGCCAGGATACAAAGCTAGCATCTGGTACACATAGTTCAGTCATTGGGATTATTTATTTTTTTTAAAACAATAAACTGACAATTGCTGGATTTTTTTTAATCATTAGCTAACAGACATCTGTGACGTTTTCTTATCTGCATAATACAGTGCTCATAGTATTGCTTTGTCATTCGAAATTCAACATTCATTCAGTAAATATTTAAGGAGTATCTCCCATGTAGCAGGCACTGTAATCAGTGCTGGGGATATAGTTATGAGTAAGGTATGAGTCTCAGGCCTAAACACAGTGCCCATCACAGTGTTGGGATTTGAACATTTAAAGAGCAGCAGATGAAAATGTTGTATTCAGGCCAGGTATGGTGGCTCATACCTGCAATCCCAGCACTTTGGGAGACCGAGGTGGGCGGATCACGAGGTCAGGAGTTTGATACCATCCTGACCAACATGGTGAAACCCCATCTTTACTAAAAATACAAAAATTAGCCAGGCATGGTAGTGCATGCCTGTAATCCCAGCTACTTGGGAGGCTGAGGCAGGTGAATCGCCTGAACCCGGGAGGCGGAGGCTGCAGTGAGCAGGGATCACACCACTGGGCTCCAGCTTGGCTACAGAGTGAGACTCTGTCTAAAAAAATGTTGTATTCAGTATCTGTTACATAGTAATGAAGACAGGCTAAAATATGAATGATTTTCAATGTGCACGAATTGTCTACATAATCTTATGGGAGTTCAGAGAAGAGAGAATACTAGGATCAGATTGGTAGTAGAGGAATATCATTCAGGTGGCATTTGGATGTAATAAAAGGAAGTAGGTGAATAGTCTTCTCTGAGTTGAGTAGGGAAGTGACATAATTGATTTATATTTTATTTAAGGCACTCTGGCTGCTTGGTGGGAAATTAGACTATGGTTTGGAGATAGAGGAAGTGAATGAAAGAAATGAGTCAGGTTAGCAGGGATCATAGTATTCAGCTGATAAATACTATGAGTTTCCTTGCCTTTCATTGTTTCAAGATTATTTATTTATTTATTTATTTATTTATTTTTGAGATGGAGTCTTGCTCACGTCTCCCAGGCTGGAGGCAGTGGTGCAATCTTGGCTCACTGCAACCTCCGCCTCCCGGAGCATCCCAAGTAGCTGGGACTATAGGCACACACCACCATGCCCAGCCAGTTTTTGTATTTTTAGTAGAGACGATGGCGTTTCACCATGTTGGCCAGGATGGTCTCGATCTCTTAACCTCGTGATCCACCGGCCTAGGCCTCCCAAATTCCTGGGATTACAGGTGTGAACTACCATGCCTGGCCAAGACTTTTTTTTTTTTTTTTTTTGAGACGGAGTTTCACTCTTGTTACCCAGGCTGCAGTGCAATGGCGTGATCTCGGCTCACCGCAACCTCCACCTCCTGGGTTCAGGCGATTCTCCTGCCTCAGCCTCCTGAGTAGCTGGGATTACAGGCACGCGCCACCATGCCCAGCTAATTTTTTTGTATTTTTAGTAGAGATGGGGTTTCACCATGTTGACCACGATGGTCTCGATCTCTCGACCTCGTGATCCACCCGCCTCGGCCTCCCAAAGTGCTGGGATTACAGGCTTGAGCCACCGTGCCCGGGCCAAGACTTTATTTTTTAATGCTGCTTCTTTATTAAAAATTTTTGTCATATTTATAATAAAATACTGGGAGAATTTTTTATGTGTGTGCCAAGTTACCAGAAACTTTGATGTGCTTACCAAATCCTTCAACCTAGTGGAGAATCTACATGTAGACATGTATATGTCCTCAGTTCTTCATGTCATTTGATATAGTTTCTGTTCTTACACTGTTGAAGGTGCTGCAGTTTACAGCTTTGGTTTTCCTTTCTTCTTGATAATCCTATTGTAATGTATAAGATCCTTTCAGGCAACTGAAGTATGCAAGAGGCAGGGAGAATAGCTGCGATTTTAGATATTTATAAATTCATGTAATAAATGTAATGGGTTTGGATCATTTATTGCATTGCCAGTGAGTTTATTATAGTATATAACAATATTTAATCCAAATGGTGATAGAAATAAAAGGCCTACTTTGAGGTAAATTGTTACTTTTTTAAGGCATACAAGTTATGTTTTTAAGAATTTCTCAAGCTGAAGAATATTCAGTGTACACTCTGTGCTTGAAAAGTCTTTTTTATTTTTTTTTATTTTTTTATTTTTTATTTTTATTGCATTTTAGGTTTTGGGAAAAGTCTTAACACATAATCCACCAAGGCCAAATTAATTTTATATTCCAAGGTTAGACTGGGGCAAGTTTCACTTAAATTTTTTGAAATTATTAAATAGTTCTGTCCGGCATTGAAAATAAAGGAAGAGAATGCTAATTGTCATTACATTTTAAGTGAAAAGATACAGCATTATAATTTTGCTCGCAAATGTAGCAATTTTCTACTATGTTTTAATTGCTTATTTGACTCTTCTCTTTTTCTCTCCCCTGCTATAGCAATCCTAGTTCCACTGGATATTTTTTAGTGATTAAATGTACTACTCACTTCTTTTTTGTATTCATTTTTTTGATAGAAAATGCATCAGATGCAGATTTATGGCTCCTGAACAGTTGCACTGTAAAAAACCCGGCTGAAGACCACTTTAGAAACTCAATTAAGTAAGTACAAATTGCTTTTTCCCTATTTTTTATAATCAAAGTGAGAATTAATACCAAACAGTTAGCTTTTTTAAAATGTCAGTATAGGTATTTAGTTGATACCAGAAAAGTATGAGTTGGACTTTTAAGATTATACTGTTTTGAATTTGACAAAGAATAATACTTGTTATTTTTATTTTTAAATTAAATTTGATGTAAGTTCTGGGATATGTGTACAGTATGTGCAAGTTTGTTACATAGGCAAACATGTGCCTTGGTGGTTTGCTGCCCCTATCAACCCATCACTGAGGTGTTAAGCCCCATATGCGTTAGCTATTTGTCCTGATATTCTCCCTCCCCTGTCCCCCACAGGCTCAAGTGTGTGTTGTTCCCCTCCCCGTGTCCCTGTATTCTCATTATTCAACTCCCACTTATAAGTGAGAACGTGCGGTGTTTGGTTTTCTGTTCCTGTGTTAGTTTGCTGAGGATAACGGCTTCCGGCTCCATCTATGTCCTTGCACAGGACATGATCTCATTTCTTTTTATGGCTGCATAGTCTTCCATAGTGTGTATGTCCCTCAGTTCTTTACCTGGTCTGTCATTTGGGTTGATTCCGTGTGTTTGCTATTGTGAATAGTACTGCAGTGAATATATGTGTGCATGTATCTTTTTAATAGAACGATTTTTATTCCTTTGGGGATATACCCAGTAATGGGATTGGTAGATCAAATGGCGTTTCTGGTTCTGGGTATTTGAGAACCACCACACTGTCTTCCACCATGGTTGAACTAATTTACATTCCCACCAACAGTATAAAAGTGTTTCTGTTTCTCCATAACCTCACCAGCATCTGTTGTTTCTTGATTTTTAATGATTGCCATTCTGACTGGTGTGAGATGGTATCTCTTTGTGGTTTTGGCTTGCGTTTCTCTAATGATCAATGATGTTGAATGTTTTTTCGTGTTTTTTTTTTGTCTGCATAAATGTCTTTTGAGAAGTGTCCATGTCCTTTGCCCACTTTTTAATGGGGTTGTTTCTTTTTTTCTGATAAATTTGTTTAAATTCCCGGCAGATTCTGAATATTGGACCTTTGTCACATGGATAGATTACAAAAATTTCCTCCCATTCTATAGGTTGTTTGTTCACTCTGATGATACTTTCTTTTTCTGTGCAGAAGCTCTTTAGTTTAATTAGATCCAATTTGTCAATTTTTGCTTTTGTTGAAATTGTTCTGATGTTTTCATCATGAAATCTTTGCCTATGCCTATGTCCTGAATAGTATTGCCTAGGTTTTCTTCCAGGGTTTTTGAGGTTTTGGGCTTTACATTTCAGTCTTTAATGAATCTTGAGTTAATTTTTGTATAAGATGTAAGGAAGGGGTCCAGTTTCAATTTTCTGCATATGACTAGCCAGTTTTCCTAGCACCATTTATCAAGTAGGGAATTCTCTCCCCATTGCTTGTTTTTGTCAGGTTTGTCAAAGATCAGATGGTTGGAGATGTGTGGTCTTATTATGTGAGTTCTCTATTCTGTTTCTTTAGTCTCTATGTCTGTTTTTATACCAGTCCCATGCTGTTTTGATTACAGTAGCCTCATAGTGTAGTTTGAAGTTGGGTAGCGTGATATCTCAGTTTTGTTCTCTTTCCTTAGGATTGTCTTGGCTGTATGGGGTCTTTTTTGGTTTCATGTGAATTTTAAAGTAGTTTTTTCCCCTAGCTTATGAAGAATGTCAATGATAGTTTAATGGAAATAGTATTAAATCTATAAATTACTTTAGGCAGTATGGCCATTTTCACAATATCGATTCTTCCTGTCTGTGAGCTTGGAGTGTTTTCCCATTTGTCTGTTTCCTCCCTATTTCCTTGAACAGTGGTTCGTAGTTCTCGTAGAGGTCCTTCACTTCCTCTGTTAGCTGTTTTTCTAGGTATTTTATTCTCTGTCGCAATTGTAATTGGGCGTTCACTCATGATTTGGCTCTCAGTTTGTCTATTCTTGGTATATAGGAATGCTTGTGATTTTTGCACTTTGATTTTGTATCCTGAGACTTTGCTGAAGTTGCCTGTTAGGTTAAAAAGTTTTTAGGTTGAGACGATGGGGTTTTCTAGAAATAGGATCATGTCATCTGCAAACAGAGACAGTTCGACTTCCTCTCTTTTTATTTGAATACGCTTTACTTTTTTCTCTTTCCTGATTGTCCTGGCCAGAACTTCCAAAACTATGTTGAATAGGAGTGGTGAGAGAGGGCATGCTTGTCTTGTGCCTGTTTTCAAGGGGAATGCTTCCAGCTTTTGCCCAGTCAGTATGATATGGGCTGTGGGTTTGGCATAAATGGTCCTTATTATTTTGAAGTCGGTCTCATCAATACCTAGTTTATTGAGAGTTTTTAACATGAAGGGATGTTGAATTTTATTGAAGACCTTTTCTGCATCTATCGAGGAAATTGTGTGGTTTTTGTCTATAGTTCTGTGTATGTGATGAATCATATTTATTGATTTGTGTACGTTGAACCAGGCTTGCATCCGGCAATGAAGCTGACCTGATCATGGTGAATAAGCTTTTTGATATACTGCTGGATTTGTTTGCCAGTATTTTATTGAAGATTTGTGTGTTGATGTTCATTATGGATATTGGCCTGAAGTTTTCTTTTCTTTCTTTTTTTTGTTATCTTTGCCAGATTTTGGTATCAGGATGATGCTGACCTCATAAAATGAGTCAGGGAGAAGTCCCTTTTTTTGATTTGTTTGGAAAAGTTTCAGAAGAATGACTCTTTGAAGGGTTTTTTTGTATGTCTGTCTCCTGTCTCATTAAGAATGATACTTTAATGGGAACTTTCCTAATAAGTGATTTCAGTATTTGTGAAGTTAGCTAATAGGTGATTTTCGAGTATTTGTTAAGTAATAACTATGTGTTCCTCTCGGAGAATCAATGCATACTTTGTGAAATTGACTGACACAGTCCTTGCCTCTTTCCCTGCCCGTTAGCACTGTTCTGAGTGCCACAGTCCCTGGCTTTCAAGGGAATTGCAGGCTGTTGAAGGGAGGTGGGCATATTAAGCCCTCGCTTCTTGCTTTGTTCCTTCAAGTTAATGTGGAAGAAGTATCCCTTTTTTTACATTTTCTCTGAATCTTATTCCCTTGTATCTTCTTAGAAACCTCCTTATAGAAGTTATGTCCTCATTCCATATTTCCACCCTCTGTAGCTCGCCTCGCGCTTTAAACGTGCCTGGTTCTAATCAGCCCCCTGTATCCCTGTTAGCCATTGTCCTGCATTTTTTCTTGCCTTCCCAGCCAGACTTTAAAAAATGTTTCACTTCTTCATTTTATTCCCATACTCATTCTTCTTCCCCTTTATTGGTTTTATTGGGAAATATATTAAACATACATTAGCATTTATAAAACATATAGTTTAAATAATAATAAACACTTAAACATCTGCCACCCAGTATAAGAAATATAACATTGTCAAGACTGTAGAAACTGCCATATTTTCATTCATAACTCCCAAGAAGTAACCTTTTTCTTGACTTCTGTGAGTCATTTCCTTACTTTTATTAGTTAACGTATCATCTATTAAGTATGTCTCTAAACAGTGTGTTGTCTTGTTTAGCCCTATTTTGAACTTGATCTGTTGAACTTATAATGTTTGTGTTCTTCTGAGATTTACTTCTTTTTCTCAGCCTTATGCTTTGAGATTTATTCATGTTAATGGGTGTAAAATAGCTTTGGCCATTCATAGAATTTGCTACAATTAATTTGTTTCATTATTGGTAGAGTTTTGAATTTTTTCCAAAATTTTACTTGGATGAACATTCCTGCTATGAATATTTTAAACATGTTTTCTTGTGCACATGTGTAGGAATTATTCTAGAATATGAACCTGGGAGTTGAATCATTGGGTAACATAGCTGTGTGTATTAGGTAATGCCAATTTCTTTTCACAAATGGATGTGGTAGTGTGCATTCCCACTAGTAATGGATTTGTTTATTTGTTGTTTTCTGTTTTTGCTAGTACTTGATATGGCCAGACTTAAGTTTTTGCAGGTCTCTTAATGATGATGGTATTTTGTTTTGGTTTTAATTTGCATTCCTTTTTTTCTTTCCTTTGAGACAGGCTCTCACTCTGTTGCCCAGGCTGGAGTGCAGTGGTAGGATCTTGGCTCACAGCAACCTCTGTCTCTCATGTTGAAAGGATTCTCCTGCTTCAGCCTCCTGGGTAGCTGGGATCACAGATGTGCAACACCACACCCAGCTATTTTATTTTAATTTTTTTTGAGAGGGAGTCTTGCTCTGTTGCCAGGCTGCAGTGCAGTGGCGTGATCTTGGCTCACTGCAGCCTCTGACTCTTTGGTTCAAGCGATTCTCCTACCTCAGCCTCCTGAGTAGCTGGGATTACAGGTGCTAGACACCACATCCGGGTAATTTTCGTATTTTTAGGAGAGATGGGGTTTCACCATGTTGGCCAGGATGGTTTCAATCTCCTGACCTTGTGATTCGTCCACCTTGGCCTCCCAAAGTTCTGGGATTACAGATGTGATCTACTGCAGCTGGCCTTAATTCCGTTTCTATGATCATTAATGAAATGGAGCTTTGTAGAACGAATCTATAGGCTCTTTGGATTTTACTTTTTTTGTAAAATGGTGTCTCATTTGTTTATTTTTCTGTTTTTTTTCCCCCCTTTTAATTTTTTATTGTGGCCGTATATTATGTGTCTTACATATCCTAACCCTTACATATTATACACATTGCAAACATCTTCCTCCCAGTTGTGGCTTATCTTTTCACTTTATTTTGTGGTATCTTTTAAGATAAATACTGACTTAAAATTTATTAATCTGTTCATTTGCTTTGTGTTCTTATTTAAAAAGTTTTTCTTACTCTGAAGCTATTAAGATATTCTCCTATATTTTCTTCTAAAAGTTTCATAATTTGACCTTTTACATTTAGGTCTACAATTCATCTGGAGTTGATTATTATTATTTTTTGTATGGTAACAGAAGGGGTCCAATTTTATTTTATGTTTTTC